GTAATTTATATATTTATTTAAATCTTATTAATATAATATTTTTAGAAAAAATATATATATATATATTATAATATTTTTTGCTAATGTATTGTTCCATTATGAATTAATTTCATCAATTGTATCTTTATTGATGCTTTTTTTTGGACATTTGCTGCGAGTTTTTTATGATACCAAAATCGTGAAGCTTTTGGGGATTTATCCTTCTGGAAAAAATAGAACCTATTAGAATCATTAATTCTTTATATGCCCAATTTCTTTTTCTTGAAGGAATGATTCCATCGTCATTATTCAATATGCTCAATTCTTCTTCTAATTCTTGACCTTGTTCTTGCTGTAAATTTTGAATTGAAGATCTATAATACCCTTCTTCAGTTAAAGTAGTGTCAAATGGCCTTAATATTATTGATCTGCATTTTTGCTAAAAATTATGTCTCTTCATCTTCTTCATCTGCTACAATCGCTTCTATTACTTCCTCTTCATTCTCATGAAAAATAGTTACACCGGGTCAACTTTTCTCAATTGACTTTTAATAAAACTTTTTTATTAATATATATATGTTTATATGAATTAATTAACTTACAATTCACTAATGTATATACTATGTATTATAAACACACCTTAAACTTAATTTAGGATCTGGTAATAATATATTGTTCTCTGTAAAATTGTCAGACAATGTGATAGATTCAAAATTTGTAATTTGCTGATCCCTGGAATATTTTCCTCGTGATCTTCACTCGAATTCTCGAATTCTGGTCTCTCTGTAGTATAATAATAAATGTCTGAAATTTCTGCCTCGGTAATGTCATTAATTCTTTTCTTTTCTAATTGGTTAAGGCTTCCACCTAATTCAATTGTTTCTTGCAAAGTATTTTTTGAATGGCGTTGAAGATGTGAAATTGAACCTGTAACGTGACCAGAATAATAATGTTGCTTGAATCAAGATTATAGTTAGTGTAAATTTTCATTATTTCACCTAATGTAATTTTATCAGCACATTGGTGATTCTTTAAAAATGAATAATTTCAATTAATAATTATAATACAATAAATTTCGCTTTTTAAAACAAACAAACAAACAAATAAATAAATAATACCTTTGTTAAAATCAATTCAAAAGTCTTATCATCAGAGTCAATATATTTCAATACAACTTCGTGTTCTTTTATTAAATTTTCATCACAAACTAGAGTGACGGCGAGTGGCGATAGCCACCACCATTCTTTTGATAAACACTTACCCGCTTCTTCAAGTATGTGATCCTCTTTTCTTCTTTTATTTATAGACATTTTTTTAAAAAAAAAAGAAGATAATTATTGATTTGATCAACAAACGCGTCATTAATTATTTATTATTACTATTGGCACTTGGTGTTCCACAGGGGATTTTTTTTGTTGACACGATTGATTTTCAATGGTGTGCTGCCTTGACATTCTTGTAATTATTTATTATTATTTAATATTAGTATGATAATGATTACGAAGAGTAAATTACACAGGTAATATTAAAGGTTCTTTATATGAAATATACAGAACCTATGTGACAAATAATAATTAATTCTTGGAGTTGGTAAACACTCTGTAATTCCTGCCACCCCCAGCCTTGGAACCAAACCATACATACCGTATCATACCAAACAACAATACTCACGTTTTGTCATCTGTCAAAAAATAAGATTATTTTTCCAAAAAAAATAATAGTAATAGGGTTGTACAACAAATACATATTAATATTATATATAATAAATAAATAATTAGCATGTACGCGTTTGTTTGTTTTTTAAAAAAATAAAAAAAAAATCATGAGAGAAAAGGGAACAAGTTGATTTGCCCTTATTAAAAAAGCAGAAAGATTAAGTAGTAAGGTTTATTTTTTAGAACAAGAAAGAAAGAAATTTTTGCTATATTGAATGAGAAACTTCTGCAAAAAGAATTAGAAGAAA